CATACGCTTAAAGAGTCTTCTTCTTATTATTTTAATTTTTCGTAATACCCTCTCCATATTATTCTCGTCTCCCTTAATAATACTATTACTCTCGTTCCTTAATAATAACCTTTCGCCGTCGCTCTCGTCCCTTAGTAATAATACCTCTCCTTCCACGTCTTTTGCGCCCGCATTACTATTCTCTCGCCGGTACGTTAAGAAAGCTTCACGTTCGCTTTATTTAATTTTATTCGCTCGTTTACAATCAATCCCAATTATAATTATTACCCGGACCCCTATCCCTTTCGATAACGGTACTAATTCTCTCCCTAAGATCCCTATATAAATAAATTCGTTACTTATAATATAGATTGTCCGCTTACCTTTTCGTATACTATTTTAAATAATAATAATTTCTTTTAGCCTTTATTTCTACTAAGTAGGCCCGATTGGAGACGCCGACGATCCTTCGATATTAGCGTCATTAGGAAAACTTTAAATTCTATTTAAATAAGGAAATAGAAGAAGAGAGAGGATAATAGTAATAGTAACCTTAATTCGAAGAATAATACTAGTTTCGTAGAAATAAAATTAATCTATTTCAACTTGGTAGGAGTTCAAACGGTTACGATAATAATAGTTTAAAAAGAGGAGGAATCTAACTAAATAACGGTCTTGATTAATAAAATCGATAGGAAACGTTTTAATAAAATTATAGTAAAGGGAATATTAATTAGAGATTTAAAAGGAGGGATCTTTAGTAATTAAGAGAAGCAAGGCTACAATATAAAAGACGTTAATTTATTTACTTTCGTCGTTAGTAATATAAAAAGTTTTCAAATTATTACCCTTTTATACATAACTAGCGGGAAATTAGTATTTACTACAATACGCGACCGTAGGAGGGTAATAAATATTATATTTCGTAGGTATAAGGACTACTAAAGTCGTTCCCTAGCGAGGAAATTATATTGAAGTATAATTATAGTAGTAATAATAATCATTATTAGTAGGAGAAGTAGAACGATACGAAGCATTGGGTAATTACTTTAATATTAATTATTATATAGTAAATAGATTTTTGTTTTAATAGAAGAAGGCCCTTAGATTAGGCAAAGTATAAACATATTTCTTAATTTAATTTTAGTTCCCGTATACTAGGAAAACAACTCTATAAGGTAAGTATTTAATAGGGTATTATTAATTCGAGTAGTAAATATGTAGTTATATAGCATTTATTTGAGGGCTCAAAGAGGAGATTCCTAGACTTTCTAGTATTATTAATTTCTTCCCCATTTAAATAGGTATTAGGTTGGGAGCGGTTATTAATAGATTTTATTACCTTTATATAATTAACTATCCTTAATACTTTATACAGTAGACCGCCTTTTTCGAGGAGGAGTAGGGGGGTAATGTTATAGGGCTAGAATTTAGGGGTTAAATTTGGCTAATACTAAGCCGTATCCTATATTATTGATAATGAGCCTACTTTATTGATAAGGAGCCTACCTTATCGATAGGGATGCGAGCCTTCTAGTTAGCCAGACCCGCATAACTGCCTAGCCTGTGCGCTCTAAGCAATTTACACAAAACCTTCTCTTAACTACACTCTTTTAGTATAGTCCTTCCTTTTCCTCTTTATTAAATATAGCATTTCAACCTTACACGACTGCTCGCTATGCAATACTCTCGCAAACCCGTTACATTTTATAATAAATACCCAGAATTTAACCCTCCGTACCCGGATTTTAGGAAAGGGTAGAAAACCTAGTAAAAAATATAAATATTACTAGAAGACGAGACCCTATCGATCCCGGCGACGGCAATACTAGCGGCGGACAACCGATAAATTAAATAGAGTGCGAAATTGAATAACAAGTAAGAAATTAACAAAAAGGGAATTTAGGACTTACAGCGCGAACTTTACCCTAAATCTCTAAAGAACGAATCTTTTAAACCTACTCTAAAGGATAGCCTGAAATTTACTTATACCTTAATTTCCTTTTCCCCTTATAATTTTCCTAAATCAGTCTCCACAATTCGGTCTCCCCAATATGGACAAAACTATATAATGGTTATAATACGTTAGCGTAGATAAAAAGAACGTTTTAGTAATTATATTCACAAATATATGGTAAAAGAAGAAAAAAAAGAATATAAATACGATTCGAATATATAATATCTATACTTATATTAGTAGTAGCGCTTTGCACGTCCTCGTACGCCACTATACTATAGGGCCCTTATAGTACTCCCTTTAAGAGTTAGCGATAGTAGAGAGGGGAAGTAGTAATTATAAAGACGATTAGAACGTTATTTGGAATTATTTGGGATAATAATAGATATTTCAGTAGAAAAGGTATATTTAATAATATTTTGGCTAGTATTTAGCTTCTAAATAGAAGTCTAGGCACTAAGCGGCTCCCCGTTTTAGTATGCGGGTTCGTAGCCCTTGATTGGGCGTACCCGCGGGAGTTGGGAAGAGGGCTTACTTTTGTAATAAAAAGGGCTCTTAACGGATTTTTTCGAGCGGGAGGTTTATTTTAGAGGGGGGTAATATCACGGGCATTATTACCTTATTCCTATATATAGGTACATATATATATATATTATATTAGTATAGATAATTAAATGCAATTATCTAGCTATAATACATTTAGCCTTCTAGCTATTATATAACGGTATAACTATTCTAGGTAGGTCTATATCTATAGACCTACACCCTATACCCTACATAGTTCTCGTGCGCGCACAGGATTCTCTTCCTATTCTTCGCACAACAATTAAAGTCTTACCTTAGTGCTTGCTCGCGCCCCATAACATTTCCTCTAATATCGTATTAATTGTACTCTTCCTCCCTATATTAAATTTAAGGGTAATAAACGTATATAATAATTACGGCGTAATAATTATAAAAGGATTAATTATACTACGAAAGGGGGTAGGGGTAGAGAGTACGCTAATAATAGGGATAGGCGTTAATATTACAGCGGGTAGGTCAACGAGGGTAAAAATAAAGGCGAGTGTAAAAGTATAGTAGTAAGTAATAGTATTACGAATATATACCTTTATAATACCCTCGCTATTAAAATTATAATTATTATTATTAAATTATATAGTTATAATAATCTTTATATAAATTATAGCCTTATTCCTCCTATTATTATTATAAATGCTAATAGTATACGTAATATTATAAAGTATAACCTAGTACCTAACCCTAACGGCGGCTATATTAACGATAATCTCTTAAGTATATTCTATTTAGAAATGAAAGACTTTATTAAATAAAATTATCCTAAATTACTAATTATAAATCTTATTATTTTTTTATTTAACTTTAATTTTTTAATAATTCCTATGGTTAAGAATAGTGGGAGGCTTAATTCTAAGGGTAATAAAATATAACCCCGTAACCGTAAACTCTACTTAAATATAAGAAGGGAGAGTGAGCTTAGGAGGTAGCGCGATTTGCTTACGGATACGCGGTTGGGCTAGAATACGCGGCTAAGCTAGGGATACTGCGTTCTTATCGTCGTTAAAAAAGTAAAATAATATATTAATAGCTTTCTTTTTAGGGGTAAAGTAGATAAAGAAATTAAGGAACTATTATTTCTCTTTCTCCTCCTCCTCCTCCTCGTCGTTATCGAATTCGCTATCGAAGTTGCTATCAAGGTCGTTAGAAAGCTTAATAAGGGTTAGCGGTATAGGCGGGAAAGAAAGTACGAGTGTAGCCTTAGTTTCGGGCTCTAGAAACGCCGTCGCTAATTTTAAAGAGGGCTCTAGCGCGGGCGCCTTCCCTTTTCCTTTATTCTTAGAAGCAACCTTCTTAGGAGCAGCCTTCTTCTTAGGGGTAGCCTTCTTAGGGGCGGCCTTTTTAGGGGCAGCCTTCTTAGGAGTAGCCTTTTTAGGGGTAATTTTCTTAGGGATAACCTTCTTGGATAAACTATCAATAGATTCCTCCCCTTTAGACTCAATAAGAGTACGACTCTTTTTCGTAGGGCGGGTAGAGGTACGTGTTGGATTCGAACCCTAATCCTCGTCGAAATAGACTAAAGTAACGCTGGCGCGACGAGTCCGCTTCTAATTCTTCTTTAAGATCGACTTGGGAAGCATTATTTTATCGCAATGGTTCAATTAATTAATGGAATGCAATTACTTTGTTTACTTTGTATGATGAAAGAGGTTATATAGCGCTTCAATTCTATACAAAAATCATATAAAAAGACGATATTTTACGATATGTGTGTGTGTTCTCGCTTGGTTGTTGTGGCCAGCTCAGCAAAGTCTTGGCAACTGACAAGGCGCTTGAGTGTGGGAACAACTGGCTGTCAATCCTCCTGCCAAGACACGGTTGAGAAGTCACCACTACCAATTATTTTGACGATTCCAGTTTTGAGAGCCTTTTAGAGTCTACTGTGGTAGACGTATCTTGTTCTCTTCCTCATTCAATATCTCGTGAGTTATTTTCCGAACCATCACCAACCCAAGATCTACCAACACCACCGAGTAGTTTGTACCTCAACAAACATTTATTGCATCACCAACCAATCGGGCATCAACAGCAAGCTGTGATAGTTCCTTTGGTTCGCCAACAAACGCGCCAATCGTTTTCCTTGTCACACTACGCCTCCTTACTCGTTCCCAGCGTCATGGATCCAGGGGTCGGAAACTTGACCGGAAGGATGTTCCTCAATACCATTACAAAAGGGATTGGACAAGTGAGGAACGAAAGACCCGAAAAGAAACGACATCACCAATGTGGAGTTTCGAGTCCAGCATCACCATTTCCCTAGTCATGCCTGGAAATCTGGAATAGTGGCAGGGGAGTCCTAATGCCGTGTTCGCCCTACATTATGCGGGGGTGCAGATCCGGAAAAAGGGGTCGTGATGACGCCCGGTATTTGTTTGACAACAGCATCAACAACGCTGCCAGTGCGACTCCATCAAACTGCATCGACTGAGGAGGCTCAGTACATAGTAAAGATTATGTATCTGCACACACTATCACAAAGATACAGAAACCTTCAGCTCTTTTTTCTCGCAGACCTCACCGTCGTCATCAGCCAAGCTTCAAGCCTGCATTCTAATGCACATCATCATGGCCTTAAGCGTCTCCATAACAAGTAACCATGCCCAACATCACCACCAGCTCCACTGATCGCCCGGTTTCGATAGCGGCAATAGTGGACCACCACCGACGTCAACAATTTCATCCCCATCCTTCAACCGAAACACATGTGTTCTTAAGCATGCACAACCACATCGTCCATCGGACATCCCCTCGCAACCGACTCAGGCCTCGTCTTCTCACCAACAATCTTCCTCGTCAACTCCATCAGATTATCCGCCAGCTCGTCGCTCTGCGCAAGGTCACTTCCCGGTTCCGCCTTCGCCGGCGCGCAAATCCACTGTCCGCCGTCGTTGGCCATAGTCACCGCGTACACCGTCGGCACCGCGCCCTCGAACTGGCTCTTCTTGAACGGTTCCATGAGGTGGGACATGGCGTAGCCGCGGATGGGGTACCTATATCTCATCCCGTTTAGCACCTCTCAACAACATATGCAAAAAGGGGAGTGTAAAACCCACGGCTCATGAATATCCTCCACACTCTGCTTCGTTGACACAAACCCCGGATGCGTCGCATTCATCACCACCCTCCCTTTGCCTTTCTTCCCATTCCCCTCGGCACTATCCATCTTCCTCGTCACCTCCCTATCAAAATACCTCGAATACAAAATCCCTGCCAGCTTGCTGCGTCCATACTGTCCATTGGGCCCCACATCCTCATTAATCTCCTCGAGACTCTTGAACTGCGTCTCCTTCGGCGCCGCACTATGCATGTTCGAACTCTGATTACTAATCCTCACCGTCTCCCCCGTTTCCTCAGCCGTCTTCTTCATCAGCGGCAACAAGTGAGAAGTCAGCACCACATGCCCCATGTGATTCGTAGCCATATGTCTATCCACTCCGTACTCCGTCAATCCAGCCGTCATTATTCCCCTCCCGCTGTTATTAACCAAAATATCCAGCCGATCAGTCTCCTTCTTGATCTGCTCCGCCACTGCGGCGGTTTGCGCCCAGTTTTCGAGATCGCAATGGATCCAGTGCACGCGATCGGCTTTGTCCTGCCCGAGCTCGGACGCGATGGCGGCCAGCGCGCCGTCGAACATTTGTCGCTTGCGCGAGAGGATGTACAGCTTGGAGAGGTTGTGCTTGAGTAAAGTGTAGGCGACGCCGAAGCCGATGCCTTCGGAGCCGCCGGTTATGACGGCGACTTTACCTGTGAGGTCGGGGGTGTCGTCGAGGGAGAAGTGCGTGGTGCCGATTTTGGAGGCGGGGCCGCCGAAGTTTTCGGCTATTGCGTTCTATTTGGGGGGGGGTGGGAGAAGGTGTTAGTGGTTGCGGGCTGGACGTAGGTAGGTAGAGTGGTTTAAAGGATCCAGGCATACCCTGATCTTGTCCATGCCGGGTACTTTGGCAAGGTAGCGGGCTTCAGCCGTCGAGAAGGGACGTCTGGTTGAAATGGCGGATGACCTTATAGCTGATGCGACGGGTACAAGTCTGACTCTGCTGCATTGAGTGACTAGAAATGTTGGTGCCAGAGTGGCAGTGCGTGCGAGGCGTTGAGAGAGTTTGGTCGACATGGTAAGTGAGCTCAATGTTCAGGGTTATCGTCGCCCAGTGATGTTCTTGATGTATCCTATCCAGAGAATAAGTAACTCCCCACAACTTGGCAACGAGTGATGTCCATCGATCCTACGCAATCATATATCATAAGAAATATCAGCCGACACGAGCGTTCGTACGCCCGAATCTCGCATTCGGTCTCGCAGAGGCTCAAAGCCAAGATGACGTTGACCTGACCTAAAACCACGCGGGAAAGGATTGCAGATCTGTGCCGCTCCGAGATCTCGGTGCGGAGGCCCGGGCTGCAGTATCGATCTGCAAGCGCCCTTATACGGGATTGGCCAGCGCAAGAGATCCCGCTAAGATCCCGCTGAGATCCTCCCAAGGGGGGCGTCCTATTGTCAATCGAGATGACGGTATAATGTGGCTTTTATACCAGGCTTTGCAGGCTTGAAGAGAAGAACGGTATGATAATCGAGAGAACGTATTAAGAGTGCGATGCCCGTTGTTGATTTAATGACCATTACATTTTGCTCTCGCCATCGCTGACCGCCAGGAAATCGACAGAAGTTGCTTCAAAGAACGAACAATTTTTTCCCCCCAAGTACGGTAAACGTTAACGACCGAAAAGCAACAGGAAAACAAAAAAAGAGGAAAGATGACTAAGAAAGTCAAGACAAATCGACAAAGTTTATCAATGCAATCTGTCCCGAACACCGTCCTGGCTGGCTCTGGTTCTCTGTTCTTCTTCTTCGATGACTGCATGTGCCCTCTCTCCGCGCGCTCGCCTGTCGATAATCCTACTTCCTGTATCAACAGGACCCATTTCCAGAGCAAAAGCCCCCGTTGGGTTACCGTCACCATCTGCTGCATGTCCACCAGGGATAGCGGGAAGTTCTCTCGGTCGAAAAAGGCTCAAGCGCCTGCTGCGATAAGGACTTTGGGGTTGTTCTATCCCTCCTGCGAGCTTATGTCCAGTCCTCCTCTCGAACTCCTTTCGGCGTTCTTCCCGTCTTCCTTCTCTTTCCACGTCGCGTTTCATCTGGTCTATCTTAATCTCCATTGTACGTATGAACATCTCATGGGGAGATCGTCCTTGGCGACGAAATGCGAGCCAAATCTCGTAGATCCCCGTGTAAACGGCCACCACCGTGGATAGGTACTTGTAAACTGCCACCACCGTGGACCATGCAATTCCTCTCAGTGTTTTACTGAAAGCAATGATGATGGTCGATATGATTATTGCGAATGATATTGGGACTAACCATTCGAAGGGGAGTATTGTTAGTGCCTGATCAGATCCACATAAGGGTTTGTGAGACGTGATTGGGGATCACCGTACACATGAGTTTGAACTGCTCATTCAGAGTCATAGGGCCTTGGCCAGTGAACTCGATGTTATTCATCCCGAATATGCTCGAGATGAAGGAAAGAGGTACCTGGATTAGGTGTAAGAAGGTGATCGGTAAACATTCAATTTGCGATTTGAACTCACAAAGACGATGGTCACTACAGTAAACATCATGATCGCTCGCCCCTGGCTGGTGGACTCGTCGGCTTGTCTGACTGATTCCCATGCCTGTACTAGACTGGCTTGTTGCTGCTTTTGCGAGATTAGGTCGTCCATCTACGAAAAGTCAGTTGGACACGTCCAAGTTTAGTCATGAATGGGAGGGAACTTACGGCCTCCGCTGTACTTTGTGCCCACTTCCTCAATCTTTGCAGTTCGTTCAGCTGGTTGCTTAACTTATATAGTAGATCCTTGGACTGCTCCTTGAACCGGTGCAGTTTCTCCTCTTCTTTGGACAGATTGTGCTCAGCATATTGGCAGAATCGCCGAATTATATCTTTCTGTTGGTCATGTATGTCGATCATTACATCCAGGTCGTCCATTGCTTCGCGAAGTTCTTGTTGGAGTTTCTGATTGTCAAAATGTTAGAGATCATGTATCAAAGCAAGACGCAGACTGTCAACTGTTGCACTTACCTCTTCATCGGTGTTGTCTAGCAGAGGAAGATGTAACGCTGATAGGTCGACAAATGTAGATCGATCACGGTAGATCAGACTAGCTCGGGAGAGCCAGTGCCTGAGATGACCGAGCATCACGGCGTGTTGCTTACGCTTCATGCCAAATCTATCTTAGTAGAATGTTCGGTATGTCGCCGTTTTTTGGGTGCTTGGATCTACTTACAACACGTCCAATGACCTCCGAAAATGTATCCAGGACTTGGAATTGGCTCTGCCCAAAGGGAAACAGTCAATAACTTGGCGTCTTCTAACAAAAGGGGGTTGAAGGAAATTACTTGCATCGAGGTTCGTTCGATCAAGCAACACACTGCAACACTCTGCTAGGATGATAAGGCCTATTTCATAGATGGATTGAACCTGGTCGTCGATCTGCGTTGTCACTAAGGGTCTCAGCCGAACACGAATTGACTCGTGAATGCCATCGATGGTCTGCTTAGCGTTCTTTTGCCAGCTTTGTGGGAAAGATGTAATGATGGTTTGCTCGTCAAGGATCCACATCCATATCTGGTCAACCATTATCAGTCGTTGCACCTGCATGATATTTTGCCTGCACTCTTCGCAGCCATGAAGGTCCGCAAAGGCGTGGTGCTCGGTCAAGGGCCTTGCTGTTGATAACCGTTGTAACCGAAGCTGTTTGGCTTTGTCGATTTCTGAAATGATCCTCTGGCCTAATCCCATGAAGTCTTTTGGTAAAGACACGAACCTGTGGTAAAGCCCTGTCAGATAACTTGCTTCGTACGCGTGCGTTTGTTTTGAGTGAGGGTGCTCACCTATAAAAGGGCTCAAAGTCACAGCTGGTCTCTTGACAAACTGTTTGGTCCTTATCACGCGATACTGTTGACTTGAATCCTCTGTTGATACATTGACGTAGAGTTCGGCGGGGGTGAAAAGGTGATTCGTGAAAAAGATACCGCTCTACTATTTGTCGGTCTTTCATCATCGACATTGCCTCAAAAAGTCGAGCGGCGTCAATAAGATATTGGCCAAGCTCACTTCTGACCTGTAGTCGCCCTGTCTCGTCAATTCCCACGTTTGTGCTCACTCCCTCGGGCAGAAACATGCGCTCAACGGTCGATGTCAAGCTTTTCATGTTGGTAAACCGAAGTGCGCGAGCTAGGAGATACATTTTGTCCTTGCCGTCAGAGGGTTCGGCCTCGTTTTTGCCTTTATCTTTTTCTGTCCCAGGCCGCGGAAGCTCACTTCGATTCTCGACGCGGCGTAATCTTTGCAGCTCCTTTTTGACGCGTTCCTTTTGGCATTGCCTGTCCGACTTGCCATCAATTATCCTTGACATCGTTTGTCGTACACGATTCGTCTCCCAGTGAAGGTACGGCATCTGTCTATGTTAGTGGCTCGATATGATCAACGAAGGGGCACAAACGTACAAACAGGACAATGTTCTTTGAACTCTGCTCAATTTGGCCCGTGTCAGACGATACCATCTCACACAGAGGGCGCATGTGTCTGGCATGCACAATACCACTTCGAGTTCCTTGCTGTTGTCCATGCCAGTATTGAGGCCGCAGAAGCAGCTGGGTCGATGTCTGAATGGCTGGGCTCTGTCCTTTGCTTCTCACATCCGGCTTTGCATCGGCGTAGTAGTTCGCGATGACTTTCTATCGCGAGAGTTAGCGATGCATCCCTCTTTGACATAGGTACAGCCTGTAATCGCTGCGGATAGCATTACCTCAACCCACTGTGCATTATTCGTCAGCGAAGTCTCAACACGCGACCGGTGAGTGGCAATACACGTACCGCCATATTGTTCGAAGGGACATGAAGATATCGGATCCTGCGGGGCTCCGCCAGGTCTTCATTTCTGTCCCGCCGTAGGATATTCCAGTCTCCCTTCGGGTTACATTGCTCATTTTTTAGATCTCTCCCATTGTTTAGGAGCCGATTCATTGAGATGCGCTGGTCAGGGAACGTTCCCCTGACCCCAACATCGGTGAGTTCGTCGTTGGCTGGTTTCAAGAACTGTCTGATGGTGGATGATGAATCAGTACCGGGTGAAGCCTGGATCTGCTCCTCTTGAACGATAAATTCGATGAGATGGGCGTAGACGTCTCGTTCAATGCTGTACTCTAGGTCTCCGGGAGCGAAATTTCGGTCATTATTAATCCCATGTTGCTCGATGAAGCGTTGAACCTCTTCGCGTCCGGTCTGGATCCTGTCAGAAACTGTGTGTTCTCCAACCTTTACCTCATCGATGGGCCTGTGTTTCCCTTGGGGCCCCTTCCTCCATTTCCGAACGGTTGGAATACCATCCTCGAACTTCTCAGAGGTCATCCACTTATGACGACTCCTCTGCACGTTGGCGACAAGACCTGGCTGTCCACCCGACGACGGAGGTTTCATGATAGCCCGGCGCATTACCTCGGTTCGTTTGTACCGGGCCTCAATTGCAATTGCCACGTTAATCATTCTTTTCTTCATCGTCTCATCGAGCTTCGCGTTGATTTCGTCCGTCGAAAGAGGTCTTTGAGCATTGTCCATTGCCATCCCGAGCTTCTTACGCTCAATCTCACGCTCATTGACCCAGACATGATTCGATTCCTTGAAGAAATCGGGCCGCTGGCAGATCTCGATGCAACCGAAATAATGTTGTACCGGGTCTTTGACGGCTTGTTCGTGCGGTTCGGTTGAGAGGCAAGTGGTTGGCTCGTTATATGTGTCGAAGAGCTGCGGACCCCTCTGAGGTTTCCATATTGCTGAGAGGTCGGTAGGATGTCGTGTCAGCTCGGGCCTGGTGAAGAGAAGAGTAGACTTCATTTTCCGAGGCGTCTCTCGGCAGCAATGAGCCTCAGTGGATCAGGTCGGCGTATGTCAATTCATCGACTGTTAGAAGAATAATAATCTGTCAAAAGCTGATATGAGCAGTTTGGAGCTGGAGAAGGAGGGTACCTTGTGCAATTTTGCCTCGAGCTCTACCGTAGGCTCGATGAGCTGACAGGCTGAGCCGTGGGGGAACTTTGTTGATGCCATTTTGACCTTTTAGGTAGCGGATCGACGGCAGCCACATCTTATCGTGTTCACGTTGAGTCGTATTTGAGCAATGAGTATGCAGGCAGAGAGATAGGCATAGATGCAGTCAGACCGGCATACAGGCGGCTGAAATGCAGCTCGGTGGTTTGGGTGGGTGGTGTACTGCACTGCGACCCGACCTGAATGGGGATACTGAAGGTGGGATGACCAATACGTACAATGTCGCATCAAGCACGATGAAAAGAAAGAAGATTGAAGAGGTGGTGTAGTCACAGAATGTGAACAAGAAAAAGTCTGTGACGATTCGTCGAGAGGACGGTGGCGTTGGAGGGGGTTGAAAGTATCATGTACGGAGGGAAAGTCTCAACCAAGCGAGATGTCGAATGAACCAAGCGGGCTTTCCCAACTCGTCTCTTCCTACAGGTATGGTCGCTCCTTCCGGGCAGCTCCCCATACTTCTTACCCAATCTGAGATTGAGATTCCGAGCGCAACTGCCTGACGGGAAGTATTCAATCTCCTGATGTTGCACAAGGCTGTCGGCCCAACTGAGATCCTCGTCTCGGAAACTGCCCCGCTTCTTCCACCCACCCTCCTTCTGTTAAGAACGGGATAAAGGGAGGTTGGGAGTGAAATGACTTCCAACAAGATCACCGATGAAAAGCGGTAACTTGGGGCTTGGGAAGGAGGATAAAGGGAATGAATGAATCAATTTTACTGCGTAGCTGGGTTTGCAGTCTTTTTCGCACTGCCAATTAACACTATGACCCAGAATTGCGCTTGTTCACACAATGTCTCCATCATCCCCTCTTCTACCGCTCATTAGCGGCGGTTCTGGTGTTCTAGCACCTCGTGACATTGGTGTATTACCACCGGCCATCGTGTACACTTGCGTTGTACCGTTGGATACCGTGGATGGAGGTCTCATACCACTCTGTTCGCTGTGTTCGTTGGTCTCACGAACTTCAGGTTTGCCATCTCTGGTCGACACCGATATGGAGGAAGGTTTACCTTCTAGAGTTGGGCTGTTCCCCGCCCCGAAGAGCCTGCTGAGCCAGCTCCGTTTTGGCGTTTCCGACGCCGCGTTGGCAATGTCAGAAGCTTGTTCGTCTGGGTTGTTCTGCGTATTGAGCAGTTCAGCCCTCCGGGCGGCTCTCTTTCGCTTGGCTTTTCGCACTTCTTCCTTCATCTTCCGGACTTTGAGCTCGGTCTTATACATGAGGTATTCCGACCGGTATTCATCGTGGAACATTATCCAGAACCTGTATAGCTGAGAGTAGACCACGATGATCGTGAAGACATATTTTGTGAAGGATACGACCGTTGCCCGGAGCAAGGGACTGAACGCGACAACGATCGTTGCGATGATGATACCTATAGATATGGAGACTGTTGTTTGGCATACAGATTAGCATAAATACATGGACCGGGTACAATGAGTGGTAGTCAATATCACTTACACATGAGTTTGAACTGTTCCCCCAAGTGCATGGGACCGCCACCAGTGAATTCCCAGTTGTTCATGCCGAAGATGCTCGACATGAATGACAAGGGCAGCTGGATACCATACAGATTAGGCATGTCCTTTCTCCTCGCTGGGGATGTTAGATTTCAACTTACAAACACAATAGTAACAATCGTGAACATCATGACAGCACGTCCTTGGGCGACGGCCTCCTCAGCTTGCCTGACGGACTCCCAGGCTTGCACTACACTTGACTGTTGTTGTTTCAATGCAAGAAGATCGTTGACCTGCGAACGTCCATGTCAGCATGCCTTCTCAAATCCAATGCAAAAGGCTGCGGGATAACTCACACTGTCAGCTGTACTCTTAGCACCTGCTCTTAGTCCTTCGAGCTCGTCGATTCGGTCGTTCACTTCTGAGAGTAGCTCCTGGTATTGAACCCGGAACCATCCCAGTTGCTTTCTTCTTCTAGTTTCTTCGTCATCTGTTCCGGGTTGCTCCTCGCTCTTGCCATTGCTGCCACTCCTGACACTTGCGTTACCTGATGGCTTGCGCGAGGGCTCCAAGGTATCTTCCTCTATGAAGCAATCGCCGCTCCATCGGTTCTTGGGATCCAAAATATGCTCAACGTGTCTGCGGAATCTCTTCATGATGTCTCTTTGTCTCTTGTGGACGTGCAGCATAATGTCCAGCTCGTCAAGGATATCCTTGACCTCGCGTTGAAGCTTCTATCCAAACAGTTAGCATGTGGCATACCAGAGGCGAATGCCAGAGTGAGTAGTGTACTTACACCTTCAGGATTGATGTCGAGCAAGGACACATGTAGATTAGCTGAGCTGACGTATTTAGACCTGGCTCGATATATCTTGGAGGCTTCTTGCGTCCAGTGCCAGACATGGTGGAATGATATTGTGTGTTGATTTGTCTAGATTCAACCATTTAGCTCAGGGTAGACCGGCATAAAGGAGCATGGTGATACGTACAACTCGCCCAATAGCTTCAGAGAAGATATCCATCACTTGCGGTTGGCCCTCCTGAAGAAAATTTCTGTCAGCTTGCATCCGTAGCTGTCACTTTGGGATACTACAATGTAGCTCACATCAGCCCTGGTCCGATCGAAGAAGGTGTTTGAGCATTCGTCCAGAATAATAAGCGCCAGATCATAGACCGATCTCACTTGGTTCTTGCGGAACGACTTTAAACGGGCCCGTATCGATCGGTGTACTCCCGACAAATCATGCTTGTTGCTTCCATAGCGCCGCGGAAACGAGGTAATGATTGTGTGCTCATCAAGAACCCACATCCATAGTTGATCAACCATGATGAGCTGGGAGACTCTCTTGATGTCGCTCTTGCACTGGTCGCAGCCGTGCTCATCAGTTGTCTCAGAATGATGAGTCCACTTCATAAGTAGCGAAACATCACCCTCGACATACTGAGCTGTACCATGATCTCCAGGTCCATGAGCCGGCTCTTCCCCTGTCACGGGTGTGGCGCTGTTTGTTGTTCGATTCAAGGGTTGTTGAGGAGAGCTGTGGCGTTTAATCCAGGAGTGCTTAGGCTTCTCTGCCTCCTGGAGTTTGTGGATAAAGTCAAGCTTCGTATCTCGGTAGATGACCTGATCTCTATCTCGAGCCTTGGTGGTTCTTAGTGTCCAGTAGTAAGACTGATCCAATGTGCGACGCGGGTGGAGGGGAGGGTCGTGGAAAAGGTATTTCTCCAGCATTCTCTGGTCCCTGAACGTTGACATGGCCTCATAAAGGCGAGCAGCATCCACCAGATACTGACCCAATGCACTCATGACTATCAGACGACCAGAGTCATCGATATGAGGCCTTTCACCGCGTCGAGCTTCCCGGCGACGTCTGAAGAGTTGATAAAGTGCCAGGTCAACGGTTTGAAGCAGCTTATTTTGACTCTCAGGGTCTTCAGCACCCTCTTTGGGATGCTTTATCTTCCTTCTCTCCATGTCATCCTTTGAGCGTTCGGTGAGTTTCTCTCTCTCTTTCTGTCGACTTGTCTTTTTCTGCTGCTTTTCTCCCTTTTGGGTTTGACGGAATTTGTCGGATTCAATATCGATCAGCCTCGAAATGGTCTCCCTCCTACGGTCTGTTTCCCAGTGGAGATATGGCATCTACAAGTCAAAAGAGTGTCAGCGTTATGTGTGTTGGGAAATGCGATAATTATCAGTATCATTGACGTACAAAAAGAACAACGTTCTTCGGATGCTTCTCGATCTCATTTGTCTCGGTTGACACCACCTCGCAGAGAGAACGCATGTGTCTTGCGTGCACTACACCGCTTCGAGTCCCTTGTTGCTGACCTCGCCAATACTGTGGGCTCAAGAGCATGTGTATTGGGGTTTGCACGCTCTGATGCCTGAGTTTGCGATTGAGATCTGGTGTTTCGGTTTCGTAGTAGTTGGCAATGGCTTTCTGTTGTCGTGTGAGCTTTAGATCTGGAAATTTTGGGTGCGGGTGTCAAGAGCTTACCTCCACCCACTAAAGCACAGCGAGTTGTGTCAGTCAGTAGCCAGCGAGGAAGAAAACTTGTAGTATGAAGGACTGAAAGGGGAATGCATATTCGGTTTGAGAGTTACGTACTGCCATATTATTTGATGGGATGTGGAAGTATCGGATCCTCTTTGGCGGTCCCGAATCATCTTGACTCTTGCATCGGTTTCTTGACAGGATGTTCCAATCGCCTTCCGGATCATGGGTTCTCAACCTAGGATTATCAGTGCTTTCCGGTCCAGGAGTAACCCCGTTGTCGAGGAGAAAGCTCATGGATATGCGCTGGTCTGGGAAGGTCCCTTTGAAACGGCCGTCGGTCAATGGTTCATCAACCGGTGTCAGGAAAGACCCAGCATCTTGACTTGGCCTGCCTGTGTCGTATTCGGTGCTGAACTGGATGAGATAGGCATTGACATCTCGCTCGAGATGATATTCGGTATCAGTGTCTTCCGCTAGTTCATTGCTGGGATCCTGATTGGATTGATGGCCATTCTCCGATTGCGTATTCTTTTTCGTGCGTTGCTTTTTCGCAAGATCTTTGACTTTCTTTCGTCCTGGCTCGTCGGATTCGTTGTTGTCATCATCTTCATTTTCACCCTTCATCTCTTTTCTCCATTGACGCACCAATTGAATTCCTTGGATGAAGCGAGGTGACCTCTTCCACCTGGTACGACTCTCCTCTAGCTGGTTAACAACGCAATCCTCCTTCTTGACTGCTGGCTGCTGGCCTGAGAAGACCCTGGAATGGCGGGTTGGAGTCTTGCTGAGCGCGTTTCGCAAAATCTCTATCCGCTTGTATTGAGCCTCGATAGCAATAGCCACACTCCCCATTCTCTTTTCAAGCCACTCATTGGCTCTTGCCTTCGAGATGGAATCAATCGTGATGGGATCGCCATCAGGAACAGGGTGACCCGCTTCCTTGAGCTTCTCTTGGGCGGCCTTCAAGTGGTTCTCCCATTTGTCGTTGTCGTTGGTGACAAGAAATTTCTCCATGGTATTTGCCAGTTCTGTGTAAACTTTCCCATATTGAATGTCCCATTCGTGCTCCCAATGCGGGTGACCGGGCTTCAGGAATTTGGCTCGGTCGCATATCTCGATGCATCCAAAGTAGTGCTGGACAGCATCTTCGACGGTGTTGTCATGGGGTTCTGTGGAAAGACAACTGGTGGGTTCATCTTCCGGGTCGTAATGCGTTAGGTTTCGGGGACTGCAGGCATCCACAAAGGCTCGAAGGGTTTCCGCTCGCATGATGGGAGAATGGTGTGGTCATCGGTGAAGGCAAGTTGGAAGCAAAGAGAACGAGAACACGACAGGTAGAGAGTACAGCTGCGAGCCTGAGGGAGACCAGAAGAATTTCTTGCTAAGAGTCAGGGGAATAGATATATCCCGAGGGATGAGTACTTGCCGTCTTGCCTAGAACGTACAGATGTGATAGCAAGTTACGCACCCGAGTCTCGTCATGATCGTGATCAAATCGCCCCCGGCGACATTGAAGATACACTGTGGAGAAGGCGACGAATAACAAGAGGGGAAAAGAATCGGGCAATAATTCATGGGGCCGGAAATGCAACAGGAACCTTCGAGGCCGGAGCGACGCCATATTCCAGAACTACTGGGTGGTGACCACTTGAGGCCCCGTCGATGTTGCACAGCATCAAGCCCACCAACTTTCCGTGGGCTGGCCCGGAGGAAACCATTCTTTCGAGCATACTAAAGAGGAGGGAGGAGATTTGTCAGAGAGCAGAAGAGGCTCTGCGCAACAGAGAAAAAGACCCTTGTCCATAATGCAGTGTGTGACACTGGGAGCCCTGCGGTTACATCCAAAGTGTGATGGTATCCGTCCTGACATGAACCGTGTCCCGGGAAATGAGATGGATGTGGTAAGGAGCGGGTAGGGTGAACTGGTGTGAGGGGAGAAGAGGTCGAGATAGGGTGCGGTCAACCAATCACGGCCAGCCATTGGATGGCCACTGCAGGCCGGCGAGAGACTAAGAGTGAAGAGACGAAAGGTTGACGGGATGGAGTGACAGATTTGCGTGGTGTTGAGACACCATGAGGCCGTCCGAAAACGCACAGCCACCCAACAGAAATCAGGAATGGGCGAGCTATACTCGATAGGGGGCAGCTGAATGTTGGCTGACGGCGGGGGTGGTGTTGCGGATGTTACCTGGCAAGCGGCGCAAGCCTGGTGCCATCTGTGTTGTGCTTGTGCTGACGGGAGGCGAAGGTTCGAAATGGGATGGATGTCCGAGGCACGAAAGAATTGCCGTGTCGAGTTGGTGGGTGACGCCATGATCACTGGTGATGATGGTGGTGAAGTTCTCGGAGCCTGATTGAAAGATGCAGAAGTTTGTGATGTTGAGTGGAAGTGGTGCAAGTCTGGACGGGACGAGACGGAATCTGCAATGTCAGCAGGCGGCAGCAGCCAAAAAGCACTGAACTGCAGAGGGCATGGGCCTTATCGAGCCTATCAATTCGGTGCCGGCGGCAGCAAAGTGCGGGGACTGGGGACGGGAAGAGGGAAGGTGCAACTGTGGTGCCAACGCGGGAACGGACTCATGTCCGAAACTTCAATCAGGTCGAGACTTCCCGAATTATGAAAGGAAAGAAGGAAGGAGATACAGGAGCTGAAAATTCTGCGCTTTCCACATCCAATTGAGAATGCATCCCTCTTTTGTTTCTGTCGACCTGACTGAAGGAGGCCGGGGATCTTCAACTTGAAAGCCCGACGCCCTCCAATCCGTCAACCCCACGACAGTTTCCCCGCTCCAACATCATCAAAATTGGCCTCCATCGTCGCCCCGAATGCATGCACAAATACCAATCCCGCGGCCTCAAAGTCTCCCCCGTTCCGAGTCTGGGCTCGGTTCTCTCAAAGCTGAAGAACGATCACTACCCCGCGGATCCAAGAACTGCCACAGTCGACGGCCATTCATCAGACGCCAAACTCTTGCTAAGAAAGAGATGCTCGGGCAAATAGGCGTCGTGTACGAGCGAAGATGGATAACTGCTCATGTTGTGAGACACGAACGAACAGCCTTACTTCAGGGCTCGATGCCATATTGTGGATGATGTTCGCAATGGCCTGTCTGGATCCTATCACTCGGGTGAGTTCATTCGCCCCCTCCCTCTCTCCAGTCTCCACGCTGCTCGATATCCATAGAAAGATGCAGAATAACCGAACATGCCTCAGACTCTGGGTGGGCTCAATCTCCCCACACCCGCCTACTAGTAATGCCTTGGTTTGAGCTTTACATTTTTTGTCTATCTTGCAGCTAAGTTCACTTCAATGATCGTTCCTTTCCAAGATACCTGATCGTTCAGATGTTGTCGCCAGCATGGTTGTCGAGGGGTGGATGCGGCCTAAAACAGTGGTGGAGTCTCGCTTCAACGGCGATCCGGGGAAGGCTACAGTACCCGCTCAGCCAAGGGTTGAGGCCTTCTGGGCGCCAGTGATGAGCCAAGGGACCATTCAGGCTTGTTTTCTGCTTGGGACTGATTTCGTGCATCCAATTGCTAACATCTGTGTGAACAGAATACTAAACCTTGATCTTTGACACAAAAAAAAGAAGCGAATGTTTTACCACCGGAGAGGCCAGTTCTCCTCGTCTCTTTCCACCCCGATCCACACCTCGTTCTTCACCATGATTGCTCCCTCCGTCTTGGCTGCATTGCACTCCGTCAAGCTTATCGTTGTTGAAGTCAGTGACTTGAAAGCGGTTATATGGGTGGTGGATGAGCTTTCGTGCGCTGACATGGTACTCCTGGTCCCTTGGCTATGAGCCGTCCCTCGACTTCGAGTTCTCTCCGCGTTATAAAACCCCAATATGTCGTCAACACTGTCATTTCTTCTCCTTCTACTCTTCGTCTGCATGCTGGCGGGACTCAATGGTGTTTGGAATGTCTCGACATCCCGTAAGGACTCCATGTCGACAACGGTGTGTGATGAGGCCGAGTCGCGGACGTACGCTGGCGGTGGGGGACTCGGACTGCGTTCAGCTTTGCTGCCTGCTCCAGTTGTGGGCGTTTTGTGGTCTCCTGATTGCTTTTCTTGTTGTTCTTGTTTGTGTTGCTCGACTATCGTGAACTCGGGCATTTCCAGGTTGTTTCGGTTTGGTGGGAGTTCGTCATGGTCTTCAGCCATTCCACGGCGTCGGAGATATAGCGGACGCAGGGTCGGTATGCCCAGGCACACCATGGCCACTGCTATTTCGGCACCAGCCCAGATGAAGTACGGGGCAAAGTTGTCTACGGTTTGTCAGTACGTGAAGTCACTGCCATGGGATCAGGCTGGCTTACAAGTGTAATCCCAAATGTTGAGGCGTGATAACACAACGGTTCTTGTGATGCCGCAAGCACCAGCTCTGAAAAATGTCAGTTTGAGTCCCTAACCAAAAAAACACCAACAACGAGTATATCGAGTACTCACACCACACCAAGGCTCATCCCACTCGCCAGCATAATCTTCTCCCGTCGTGGCATCCTCAAAGACCAGATGAAGAGCCACGGGAAAATGGCAAAGATGAAATCACAGACACTGGACCACACTCCCAACCCAACACTCATCGGCTGAATCTTGATGTGCCATTTCCCCGGAGTTCTCAATGGATCCCAGCTGGCCTTTCTCGGTGTCGTCTGATTCCATAGCATGACCACTAACGCAAATGACGTCCCTGCCGTCACCACGATCAGCGCCCAGAGCGCCATCTTCTGTCCCCTTAACTGTACCACCCTCAACAAGAAGAACCCCATCGACAACTTGGCCATGGCGTTACCCGTTATCGCAAAGGTGTTGGCGACATAGCTCCAAAAGATTGATCTCGACGTGTCATCGAGCGATAGCGACCACAGACTGGCCCCCATGCCAAAGTGCACCGAGACATGAAGGAAGGCGGCGAATAGAAGAAGAAAGAGGCCGGTCAAGACGTAGACGTAGTCTTCGGTACCGATGAACTTGACGATGTGTATGCGAGTATAAAGGCGTAGGAACATGAAGGAGAGTGAGAGAAGGGTCATGGACCAAACGGCGACGACTACTTCTAGTTGGCGCTGTTCCATGATGCCAACTGGTCTTTTATCGAGTCATTGTCGTTGTCGTTTGGTTGCCGTCACTGCATGCAAGTGATGCCATTTGCTCCGTTCAATAGTTCGATGGGTATGGGAAGAAGAAGAAAGAGGAAAAAGGAACTGGTGGAGTGACTAGTCTAGCAGCGAACGATCATCGCGTGCCAGACTGAGACAAGAAACGTGGTGGGCATGTCTCAAGTTTTGGTTGACGGCCGAAGAAAAGCTGGAAGTCCAGACTGTCGGAGCAACCTATCACGACATTTCTCCTCCACAGCAAAATTGCTCTTTGTCTTGATTTGCTCATCACTTCATTTTATCAAGTCCGCTGGCCTCTCAGGCCTGTTGAATTTCCCAACTAGCCCCATCGAAAAGTCTGCCTACCACGCGCGAGTGGCAACACCGTAACTGGTTCGAGGTTCGTGGGATGATGGACATTGGGATATCATAATAATCTCCAATCACCACTTCAAGACCGTCAAAATTGCCAAAAGCCCCCCTCTTCTCACTGGAACACACTGGAACAGACGTCGACCATTCATCTGTGTTACCTCGCCCAAGCTTCACTGCCGTACCTGAAGATGGTGGGGTGCTGTGGGCTGCTAGCACTTACACCTCCCTGTCTGCGAGCGCGGATTGGCTGGATTTGGGGCACGGACTGACCAACGGGAGAGAACAGGGTTAACCGCTGAAAGACAGGGGTCGCGGACTGGGGATTAGCGCAGGCGTAATATAGGGCTTTAAGCGCTTGCACCGGACCGGCTCACTGGCTTGACTGGACTGGTCTAGGAGAGATGTTGAAGAGCTGATGTCATTGATAATGTTCTGGAGTGGAGGGTTTTCAGCACGCCATTGCCGTGATGTGAAACAGAATTGGTAGATTGTGCTGATGCAAGTCATCTAAGAAGCATGCCTCGGTAAGCCGTTACCAAGAGCATGGTGTCAGTCGACCCTAACCCTCCACTAGTCAGGAACACAGCACCGATGTCCGTGCTCCACCCTTCTCAACCCCGGCCCTTGTCAAAATCGATCTCGATGACATGGGACACCACTGCACCGCACACCAAAAATTTCTTCCCACATCCTGCACATTGGCCTACATAAATGACTCAACCAGACCCTTTCTTCCAACAATCCGAACAGGAATGATTGATAGCCGCAACTTGCCCGGCTAGCTCAATCGGTAGAGCGTGAGACTCTTAAGGACAGTTCCTCCGTAATCTCAAGGTTGTGGGTTCGACCCCCACGTCGGGCTCAATTCCCGTCGTTCCTTCTCTTTTTTGGATTTTTCTCTTTTGAATATTTTATTTCCCTTTTACATTTTCAGAGTTCCATCTTGCCTGCCGTGTCTGCTACCGGGATGATGACATCTTTTCCTTTTCTTTTTGCTGCCTTCTTTCGCTGTTCCCACACTCAAGCGCCTTGACAGTTGGCAAGACTTCCCGAGAATTAAGCTGACCACAACTTTTTGGCAAACGGACCTTTGAAACGAGAAGAACAAGACTTCATTTGCCCATATCTCCACCAAATGAGGAGATGAAAGAAAAATGATTGTAGGTTCAACATCAGCGTGCTTGAAACTATCAAGAGAGCAAGCACTCTTTCTGATGATATAATTGAATTTCTTGATTTTCGTCTTTCGTTTCGATGGTCCGTTTGTCAAAAAATTGTGGCCAGCTCAATTCTCGGAAAGTCTTGGCAACTATCAAGGCGCTTGAGTGTGGGAACGGCGTTGTTTAGCACCCGTTGCCGTCGTCGTTCCTTTTCCTCTTTTTGCGGTTCTGCATGCACTCTCTCGTCGTTCTCCTCCTCTTCTGTTTTGGCTGGTGTGCCACTTTTTGCCTTTTGGCTTTCTGGTTCTCCTCAGACTCAGACTCAGTCGAGCTCGGGCGTTTTCTTTTCTTGCTTGTCCTGCTTGTTCGAGGTCTGTCTTCGCGAAATCGTTCCAAGACTGTGCCTATGTCTGCAAATTCTGTCAGATAATGATTTCTCATTCTCATTCTCATTCTGGGCTTTGTGGGGGTTTGAAATGGCTTTATTCCTACCTACCATTTCTTGCGACATTCTTGGCAACGCCAGCCCGTTCTTCCGCCGTCGTCCGGTCCTCATCATCATGCCGAACATAGTCAACGGTCTCAGGGTGACATTCAAAGACCTCAGCGATTTCGGCGTCGGTGGAGGAGATGCCTTGTTCTTCTTCGATCCATTCGGCGCCCATGATACCGCCGCGGATGCGGTTCTTCTTGAGGGTGTCGAGGGGGTCGCGGAGTTGGGGCATTTTGTTTGGTAAGTAAGGTATGCAAATGTGCACTTTAAACGGAATATCGGAAAAGGAAAGATTGATATAGAGAAGATAAATATCGGAAGTCTGGAGATTGATTGATGGCGTTGTCGCGGTTTTGTTTACTTCAGCAGACCTATGACGTAACTTCGGTGGTGATCAGCTGTGTCCGTGTCCGTTTGGTGATCTCCCCGTGGAAGATGTTCCGCGTACGTCCAGCGGAAGAGGAAGTCATAAAAACTGTTACGGTCCATTGCAGCGGTCAACATTAGCCAAGCTGGATTCGAGCCGCGCCGAGCTCAACATAAATCTTACGAGCCAGGCCGAGCCGAGCCGAGTCGAACGTCCAGCTCAGCTCGGCTTGACTAATGTTGACCGCTGGTCCATTGTCTACCTCGATAGTGTACGCATTTGAGTCCTGTTTCGCCAAACACAAGATTGTCCATCTTTTGGTGGTTTCTCGGACTTGGTCGCTGTGCACATCTAGGTCTAGTCCTGTGATAATCATCTTGCATTGAAGCGATCAAGCACCACAGCGCCATGAAGCCACGAACCATACAAACGATACCAGTGAACACATTTACCCGGAGTCATAACATCATATCCAATTCCAATCATCCACGCAAGCAGCATCATCGCCTATTTACCGACCACTCCTAACTCCATCCCCCCTCTTCCCCTCCTCCTCATCCTCACTACTACTCAAATCATCCTCACTCATACTCAACCTAAAATACTCCCCGTCCGCGCCCCCTCCTCCATTTCCATTCCTAGCCATCAACCCATAACTTTCAGCCTCCCCATCCTCTCCTCCCATCCCTCCCTTTGCATTCTGCCCGCCATTCACACCCGCCAGCGCCTTCCTCTGCGCCGCCCTCCAAACCCACCAAACAACCACAACAGCCTCCATCCCCACGAAGATCCCAACTCCCCACACATCCACCCTACTATGTCCGCTCAACAAGAGTCCCAAAATAACATTAACCCACCCCGCCACCACCGCCCACCGTCCCAGCCAGATATGTCCATAAGAAATCCATGTCCTTCTGCGGATTCTCAAGAAATCAATGTGATGTCTCCACCCCAGAATCACCTGGACTACCAGCAACAAGGTAATAACTAAACCAAGCCACTGGTGGAAGGTAGAAGGGATGTGGCGGCCGGTCATGTATAGACCTACACCAGCACCGGCGAGAGTGAAAGTGGATGCGAGCGCTTGGACTAACCAGTGCTTTTTGAAGGCGTTACCGGGGCTGCGAATTAAAAGGACGCCGAGGGGAAAGAGGATGAGGAAGGCAATGGTCATGAAGAAGGCGTGGGTTTTGGGGAGGGGGTTTGAGGTTACTTTGTCTAGCCAGCCCGAGGCGGAGAGGGGTTGGGTGCTGGTGCCGAGGAGTTTGGTACTGGGGTCGATGGTGAGGTGGGCGAGGAGGTCGGAGGTGGTTGGCTTTCCTAAATAGTTGCCGAGGACGGAGCGCGTCATATCCGCCCAGAAAAAGCCGTATCCACCTGTCTCTGAGCCGTGATGGCGATGCATCTTCAACCGCGCATCCCGGGTGAAGTTTCCACCGAAATCTTGGCGGTCGTTCCAGGCCCAGAGGAAAGGCTGAGATGCAGAAGTAGCGGAGGTCGAAGTCCGCCAGGATCCAGAGCCGGAGGACCACAAAGAGCAGGAGTAGCAGGCGAGCAAAACGTCGGCGACATAAGTCGGTGTGCCAGGCGAAGGGATGATGGGGTGTTCATCGTGGTCGTCGTGTCTCTTCACCTTCCTTCCCTTTCTTCCTTTTCCAGTACCGCTGGCGGGAACGGTACCGCCCTCTTTCCAACTAGATGCCAGAACCTGGACATCAAACCCCTTCCCAGCTACTGTCCCAAAATCTTGGATCAACTGCGGTTGGCGATGTCCTTCCACCGTTCTGACGCTGACTACCGGCTCCTTTTGGGTACCATTGATAGGGTCGCCGTAAACAACAAACATCAACGCTCCCGCCATCGTCTGCCCTGTGCCGATGGCTGTCCATCCATTTGCGTTCCAGCGAGTGACGGTCAGATGGAAGTAGATGTCGTGGGAGGAAGTAGTGATGTTTGGGAGGGAGGAGAGGGAGAGGCAGAAGTCTGCTGCTCCTGAAGTAAGACCGGTTTGGCAGTATTGGACTTTGTTGTCGGTGGTTGTGGAAGTGGTAGTGGTCGAGGCGCCGAGGAGGGGTTGTGTAAAGAGGCAGACGGAGAGGAGCAGGGCCCCGAAAAGAGAGGGGAGGCGCGCCATTGTAGGACCTGGAGTTGCTGGGCGGTGCAACAACTCTCAAGAAGAATGAGGATGAGGTGAGAAGAGAGAAGAGGAGAGTTGGGATGAAGAGGTTCAAATCCAACGGGGCCTGACGGGCCACTCGGGACTCGGCGTGCGCTAGCAGATCTGCTGCCCGATGGCTGGGACGGCGGGGCGGCGGGGGAATGTGTGGGGCGCTGACGGGCCGCGTGGTGGGTTTGCTGACCGATGACCGATGCAGTTCTCAGTGTTCTTTCCTCTTTTTTCAACTGGATGGATGAAAATGGTTTCTTCAACGTTCTTTCGTCCTCATTGTTCGATTCTTGCTACTCCAGATTCCCGAGTCGAGAAGAAACCGTAAACCAATTTTGGCGCAACCACAGACATGTGACATCTTTGGCGCGCACCTGCGGCTTTTTGGCGCCAGATGTAAGTCCCGTCAGGCGCAAATATCGCAACCGAGGGCGCTGTTGTGCACCGCTGACCACTGCGACCGATCGCCAATCCCGTCGCCGAGAGTTCCGGTTTATCTCCCCGCGCGCTGAGTGGCTGACAACCACCCCGTCCATCGCCTATGGCACTTTTCGCATGGGACTTCTTATTTCCGATTGTTCGGCATTGCTTTCATGACGTCTCCCCAACATTCTCGAAATCGGTGCTCGGAATAGTGGCATGACATTTCATTTCCTTTCGTTTTTGTACACAGGGCAATCCATACCAGGACGACGGTAGCGGCCGCTATTGCCACTGATGTGCGCAGGGATCCCAGGGCCCGGGAGTCAGGGACGTCAGGCACGCCAGGCACGAACAGGGACGAACTCGCGGAGAGGAGATGGGACGAGTGGATCTTTAACTGACTTCATTTTGAGCGAGGACTGTCATGACTGAAAACTTCATGAATCGCTCAAATAATGGCCCATGGCACCGTCTTTAAGCACACGACAAGCTCGACTTGACCCCGCCCTCCTTCCACTTTCACCTGCATCCATCCTTCACAACCTAGGCCTCTGTGGCAGTCGTGGCCGACCAGAATTCTGAATGCTGTATTTCTTCCCATCCAGCGAGGCGGGGATTTTTCTCTACAGAATTCTTCTCCCTGACAAGCACCCACTTATGACAATCTTCCCAATCCTTCGCCTTTCCTTTTCAGCCTCCCAGAAACCCCGTTCCCAGGTGCTTTGGCCTATTCTGGATGACTCAAAGAGGTGGCTTCTCGCCACAATTCGAGGTTTGTACTCTGCACAGGTCAGTTCATTCAGAAACTGACTTCAGACGTCCCAAACACGCCCTCACCACGATTGTTCAGAATACCGGTGCGAAGAAAGTTCTATGAAGACGATCATCCTCAGCTCGGACGTCTGAGTTCTTCACACAAGCCTGAAATCTTGGCCAATTCGATGTACTCCCGTTTGGAATTGGATGCTTCTTCATTGTTGACATTGAGATGATTAGACAAAAGGTCCAAGATGGGTGTGTCAGTCTGACTGATGTCGCAATTGTTGCGAAATTACCACAACACACCCAACCCTAACCCGATGTGGCCTTGGCAAAACAATCTTCATGATCTGGCCCCCTCCTTTCTGACCATCAGTCGACAAAGCTGGCCTATTGCCGACTTCTCCCACCCTTTGATGAAAAATAAATGCCATCAACGTCTTATTTAACCATGGCAGATTCAGGGGTAGACCAGAATCAATTTTCTCGCCTTGACACAAGCCCGTATATACCCGGCTTCACTCACCCCTTCCGCTCCGGGTCCTGTCCCCTCAACATCCAGCATGAACCACACCACCCATCTGCAATAACTTGCCTAGCAAAGAAAGCTTCTGTAGGAACTACTATGGAGCCCAGAGACCAAGAAAACTCGGCACGTCTCCCAGTGAAAAACAAGAAGGAGAAGTTACACAGTGCATCGGCAGTTGGTGTCTCCGGGCGGACATACTCACCCGGCATGACATGTCGTCAAAAGAAGAGCTCCGACCTCTCACCTCATTGGTTACTTGGACAGGACAGGGGGGTGCAGACGACATGAGCCGCATGTTACTGCAGTAACCCCATCCGGGGGGGGGGGGGGGGGGCACTGGGGACATCCTCAGCTCGGCTGTGTCTGAGTCCCTCGGTGCCAGGTCGGCGGTCGACCCGGGACATGTCACCCAGCCACGTGGATCCCTTTCGACCCTCTTTGCGTTCAGCCCGAGCCGCAGGTCGGCGCTATCAAAATCTCAGTTGCGCATCTGATGTGATGCGAGATGGACTGTTTTCATGGGTAACAGCATACCACCTCCTTAAGGCAGTGTGGATGGGGGGTGGGTGGCAGTCTCGATGAACACCAGCGGAACGACAGACGTGTATCCCCCTCGTATTCTTGTCTTGACAGGTCACACCACGATCCTGATAAACAACGGATGTCGTCCAAAAGGTTGGGCTGCTCCGTGGCTTCATGCTGGCACTAGCAGCTCGACGACGTTGCGTTGGTGGAGCATGGTGTGATATTACTGGTAATAATCGATATAGGGTTCAACGTGGCTTTATTGTGTGTGTGTGTGTAAGACTGGCTCTGCAGATTCGAAGTTCTAGCATCTAGATAAATCCCTTATATCCTAGCCCAATTAGGTATGTATACGCCTAGTAGATCCCCTAGCCTCTAATATACCCCCTTAGATCTAGTATACAAACTACGCCAGATCTACCCAGATATACCTTGAAATGCCCTAAAATCCTCCCAAAACTAGCCAAAAATAATATTATTCCTATATTATTTTATCGTTATAATAATTTTCAAATTTTTATTTGTAAGAGTCTTACTTTATTATACTTACCGTTACACTTACCGATTCGTTATTTAAATCCTCCTTTATAGAGTCCTCTATGCCCTTTAAGCGGCCTATAGCGACATCTCTACTACTAAACTCTCGCAATTAAATCTATAGCCGCTATAATTTTATAAATTCTAATTACTACATAGATCTCAAATATATTGCGGGAAGGAAGCTCTCTATAAAGCCATCCGTAATCTATTCCTTAGTAAGTACGTAAATTATATTTACCAATTTCTTCTCCTACGTTTACTTTAACTAATATTTACATATATCGACGTATTTAAATTTAATTACGAGCCGAACTCCCTCCTTTACGATAAATTATATTGTTTATTTATTATTATAGCCTATAAGTATAACCTCTTAATCTTCGAATCCTAGGGTAAATTTGTTAAAGAGATAGCGGGCGTAGATTACTTCCTTAATTCCTTAATTAATGGATAATAATTTAACCTCTATAAATAAGGTTGTAATTGTATTTTATTTATTAGTACGCTAATTAATAATAATATTTAATATTTTAAATACGAATACCTATAAATTCTTTTAATTAAAAGAATTGTTTATAAATAAAGAATTAATTATAACGTAAAAGTCCTAATAATCTTTACTACTTAATTAAAGGGTATAATTTTAAATTAGTAGAAGGTAGAAGAATATTCTATTTATAACCATATAATACGCTAGATTAGGGTTTAAATTAAATCGAGCGAATTTAGAGACCGGGAAGACTACGTCTAGTCGCGACGTAATAGTAATATAGAAAATTAAACCGATTTTAACTTAATATATATAAATTTTGTACGGGGCTATATTATTTTAATAAAGTAAGAATTCCTCCTTAATTATAAGTATAGAATATAATTTCTTTATATGCTTAACCTTCTCCGCAATCTTTTAAATATAGTCGTACTATAATAGCTAAATCAATTTCTTCTTTCGGTTTCGAATAATTTCGATACTTAAAAACTATTTTAGTAATTCTCTACCCATTAATTAATATTTCCTCCCTATAGCAGCTACTACCCTCTTAATTATAATAATTTCTTTATTCCTATATTTATTAGTAATAACGATATTATCAATATAAAAGAAGAAAAATATATTATTTTTAATTAGAATATTAAATTCTATAGGTAGAGGGTTTATATTTATAATTACGAAGGTCTTAATAAATTCCTACTATTAAAAGAGGGGAGATCTCCGTAGACTATATAGCGTACGTAGTAATTAGAATACCTAGCCTTTCCTAATATACCTAAGGGGAGCCTTAATAAATACTGCTTTATCGAATATAGTATTAATAAAAGCGTTCTTTATATTGTACTAAATTAAGTCAAATTAAAATAAGCGGCTATAGCTATTAGAATACAAAACGACCTCATTATTAAAATTGCTATATATATTTTACGTATACTATCTTTAAATTGCTATTCCTTATATGAAATTAAATATACTTTATATTTAAGAAACCGGCCGTCATAATCGAATTTATAAATATATACTTATATTGAACCGAATATTCCGTTATTTCCCGCTTCTTCGATATTAACCTACTTTTAAAACTTCTTATTCTTATACTTATTTAAATATTCCTTCTCTATAATTTTAAAAAATTCCCTAAAGGAGTAAAAATTAAAATTACTATAATATTTTAGAAGAGGTAGAAAATTAATTTAATAGAAAGTTTTTAACGTACCCTTTATTTTATAATAATTAATAATATCCCTTATTATTTTTAATTTAGAATTATAACCGGGATCAATATTAATACCCCTCTCTCTTATTTATTCTAGGAAGGCTTAATCTACGACCTTATCTCCCCAAAGGCCTACAAATCGACTACCCTATATAAATAAGAATAATACGGCCTAATAAAAGTACTAATTTATAATTAACTATAATCCTCTATTAGAGTGAGAGAGGTCAATTATTAGAAACGCAGTTAGATTATTAAGAGGCGTAGGGAAATAATTCTCTTCTTTATCCTTCGAATATAAAACTATACCCCAAAAATCCGACGGCGATTGTATGGGCAATAATAATAAAGGTTCTAAAGACCCTTACAATATTTCTAAACCTAATAATATCCCTAATACTTATAGGACTTCCAAAGATTTAAATTATATCTATATTTCTAAAAACCTGTCACAGGGCTGGCTATGACGTCTATATAGTGCGTACATCCGAGTTTTGTCTAGCGAACAGAACATCGTTCCATCTTTTGATGGTGTACTGGTTCCAGGCATTGTACGCCCTAGTCCGTGATAAAATCCTAATTCCCCCTCTTCCCCT